TTTCCCTAATAAATGTAAATGTAATAGGCTACCTCTAGTTGTGGTTCCTGTTAATGGTTTGATCTGCTGAAGTGGGCTGGGACTGGGAAGTTAACTCTAGGACCCTGGGTTTCCGTGGGTACTTAAACCTGGGAGATGGAAAATGGAAGGTATTAAAAAAACAGCATAAAACATTCCTTAGGATTAAACAGTGGAGCAGCCCCTGGAACGCAGCCAAGTCCTGCTCAGTTTTGGTAAGCCAATGGCACGTTCAATTCCTTCAGCTTCTACTGAGCTACCGCAGGGGAGAAAGGCACTGCTTGGTCCTCTGGCGGTTCTGCAGGGCCAGCAGCAGCACAGCTGCCATGCTGAACCTCACCGGCCAAAAGGGGAGGTGCACCTCAGCAGGGCTCGGGCGTATGTCCGTCAGGCACGCTTCAGAACCGAACAACTGTGAGTAGGCAAAGCCAATGTTTGGGCAGCACATAACAAGAAGGCGAGCAAACACTTTGACACCAATTCTTAGATGTGCGGGGACCTAGATCTGTTGGTGGCACTAGCCTCAGGCATGCGCTTGAGCAGCTAGGAACTTTCCCCCATCCCTCAGAAACCAGGCAGAATGATAGCAGTGGACTTTTTTTTTTTTTCCCCTCCTGCTAGGCATGGAGGCACATGTGGTGGTCTTAATTACTGCTGTGTGTTTTAATCATTGCTACTAGTGCACTCATACTAATTTACAGTGAGTTTTTAGTGTGCACCACCAGATTTTGCATTCAAGATCTGTGACTTCCCCTTCTCACAGAAAGGCAGCTAGAAAAGCTAAGTTTACACTTGCTTTATTACAAAACCAACCACGAGCGCCTCAGCTCTCCGCGTACTCACTCACGCCTCTGGGAACTTGTTTCCCGTGGCTGTGTGGAAATCACATTTCTGAATGCTGCACTGAAGTGAGGGAGATGCAAATGCCTGTATCGGCTCCCGCTATTCTGTCGCTCATCTGCCGTTGGCTGATGCACCTGGGGAAGAGTAGGATGTAACACCGCTTGAAATATAACCATCATCCTGCTGATACATGAGGAGGCGCCGAAGTTCATTTGCAGTGAACCAGACAGAAGGAAGCACGTGTTTTCTGCAAACACTTGGGTGGTTTTCTCTTGTGGCTACTGTGACAGCTTCTTCTCTAATAACTGCTTTACCACAACAGGATTGGATCGTCCTCGTGTTTCTCTTTGTACCAGGCCAATTAACTTATTTAGAACTTTCAGATTTCCTGCTTTTATCGCCATAACCTTTAAAGAAAAAGACAAGCCAACAGACACCACTGTTACAGTAAACTTGGACCTTTTCACTCATTCACAGCCAAGGTATGACTATTTTTGTCCTTTGGACCATTGTGGTAGAACACTATATTTTGGGCTAAGACGTTATTTATAAAAACTGCCTTCAGCTTTGCAATAAGCTCCCGCTCTACTCCCAGGAGACAGGAGCAAGTCCCTGCAGTACCAGGGCCTTACAACTAACAGAAAGATCTCCTCTTATTGAAAAAGTCAGAAAACACTTTTGGATTTTAACAGTGTCTGCAACTTGAACAGCAACTTCCTGGAAAAGAGCCAGAGAACTGAGACTGATGACTTTTTGCTAATAGGATCTACCTTTTTACTCAATACACTGTTCAGTTATAACAAGTAATTTGCATCAAATCACAATCTATTTGATAGTATTTGTGAGGTCATTCAAGTGCAGACGTAGGTGCTTTTGTAACAGCGTGTTATTTCCTTTAAGCAAGGAATCCTTTGCGACATAGCAATTAATTAACTGATCAGAAATATGACCTCCTATCAGACAGCCAGTGTTTGATGCACAGTCAACTGCAAAACAGCAAGGGCCATGTTTAAAAGCTAAGCAAAGACACTGAAAAAAACATCGGGGAATTTCACTTTCAGGCATTTCTAAAGGCGATGCCGCTGCCGAAAGACAAGCTGCTGGCCTTCAGGCTGGTTGTGTGGCAGGGAAGGCATTCTCTGCATTGTCAAGAGTTACTGGGCAAAACTTGACAGCTTCCATTAAACACGATGTCATATTTACAGATATGAAGGGAAGAATTGTGAACAGATGAACCACCCCCTGTGCCAATACCAAGCACAAATGCAAATATTGCTACTCATCATGGTATCCAAATTATTGGCAGCGTAAAGTCTTCTCCGTAATGTCACAATACAGAAAGGACTCATTACTCCTGATCTGCTAGGAATTACCTATATGGGGCAGAACACAGTACAATCCAGATGATAGATACTGCATTTTTCATAAAATGCTCAGTGTTGGCTTAAGCAACTGTTTGTTAGGTCAGTTTAAAGAAGAAAGTTACTATCAAAAAGCAAGGAATACTTTTTTTTCCCCTCTCCCTGTCAAATACTCAGCTAACTCTGTTGGGTAAGGTAAGCTCTCGCAGCAATTTAAGCAATGAATTACAGGCCTTCAAGGCAGCTTTTGCCTTGGCAAAAGATTACGTGGAAAAAGTAGGGAAGTGAGGCCGTTCTGCTGCATTTGGCTCGACTAAACCAGTGGAAAACAGAGGAATTACATTCTCGGAGAAAGCAGCATTATTGAAATGGGAGCGTAGTTATGGACCTTTGGCTTCTGCGCTTCCCAATCAGTTCTAATGTTCTTTCTATCCACACTTGTGCTTCTGTACCAGTCTGAAAATACAGCAGCACTTTTATCAGGCTCTGCAAATGAGTCAGTCTGATGGAGGTCATGCCGACCTACTGCAAGCTCATTTTCTTTATCAAAAGCTCTTGCAGAGCTGTTAGCATCCCCCAATGAGATCTGGGGTGGGTGGTATTGTTCTCAAAAGAAGTTAATGTTTTTTTCCAAATGGCAAATGTATCTAGACAATGTTTATATTAGAAGTAAGCTATTCACTTCTGCTTTTACGTTTTCGCTCCAGAGAACATATAAGCACTTGTTTTCATTTTGCTTTTTATAAAGCAGATTTTAAGCTCTGTACAGATCCCTTCCCACTCCTCCCCTTCATGATCAACAAGGTTTTTTTTCCCTTTTTCTCATCTCAGACTCCGTTAGACTGATGGGCCATGCAGGCTGCGCCTGCCCTCCCAAGGAGCTGGGGAAGAGCCAACCCCCCCATCTTTCCCACTGCAGCATTTGTGCTGCTGCCACAGCCCAGCAGTAGAACAGCGGAGCGAGCAGCAGCTCTGGAGCCCCCCATGCTGCTGCCATGGGGCTCCAGCTCCTCCCCACCCCATCTCTTTGGCAGCAGAGGGAGACAGGGACGTGGCGAAGAGACAAATGCAAGTAAAATTTTTGCCTTGCCAGCCTCTGATACAGTCTCTAATTCCATAACTAATACATGCCATGCTGGAGGGAACTTCAATCTCCACCTTCAGAAGAGTTCCACAGTGTTGCCCTAGTATCACAACAGATGACATAAAAATCAGAGTTACATGGTTGGGTGGCCAGGTCAGGTTAATGGCAGGATAGCTGGAGAAGGAAATTGCCCCACAGTTTTGCTTTCCTGCGTTAAATTTTTATGGTCTCTCAGAATGACTTAGCGCATTAGCCAGACTGGTAATTTCTTCTGCTGATCATTTTGTGTATGCTTCAATTTCCAAAAAAACACTTAGTAAAATAAGAAAGGAGAAGAAAAGCCTGGTAATATCTGAGCAGCAGCTTTAATGCTCCTGTACTGGCTCTAGAGCTCAAATGTCAATCAAAAGGAGAAGAGGGGAAAAAAAAAAAAAAGGCCATTTTAACCCCCTTTTTAGTGCCACAGACTGCCAGAGTGCACAAGCTTCCCAGCACCATCATAATCACCTCATTTTCTTGTCCATCAATCACGGCCTGGCAGATCTGTTCAAGCTCTTTTTGATCCTGTATCAGTTCAAGTTTCTTTTCTTTAACAATTTCAAGGGGAGTCTTCCTTTCTCCCTTCCACAATTCTGCAAGCACCTGAAAATCACAGTAAGTAGCGAAGTTGGTGTCTTGACATATCAACGTTGTTTACATGCAGCATTTCAGTTACTGATCCAAGAAACCAGATTTTAGTTAAAGTGAGAGCAGATTGTCTAACCATGAACAAACCCAAGACTGAATCCTGTGCTTCGCTCAAAGAGCTCCTGTACCCTCCCTCCTTTTCTGCATCCTGCAGAAAAGCAGTTTCACTCACTGCAGGTTAATGGCTTGCAACCAGTGCTCTGCAGCCTCCTGCAGTACTGGGAGCCACCCGCCGCTACCAGTGATGGTACCCTTCAAAGAAGCTTACTGAGCACAGCCCCCGTCTCCGTCGCTGCACAGAGCCACCGCTCCCTCGCTGGGAGAGGGGTGCACCCCAGCAGAGATTATCACTGACTGCAAGGCTGTTCCTCAGGCAGTACTTGCGCTTGTCTTACGTTATTCACAAGAACTGCCTGTGAGCAGTAAGAAAATGCATTTCCATGAGAAATGTCTCTGCCTGGGAACCGACGATTAGCTGACTATTGTACCAAGTCCGATCCCAGGTAACTCATCCCATTACCAGTCCTCATCAGCAAGCTGTAATGAGGATACGTGTGACAAAGCAGAAGAAAAATAGTGCCGAGCAGAATGAATGCAGCAGCTCCGGCCCACCTATGCATCACCTCCAAGGACTGGAATGCTGGGTGAACCCAGGCCTCTGCAATAATCACTTGTTAATGCAAGTGAGTTCTCCTACACTGCAGCAGGGCTATCGCCCCGGAATAAACTTGAGAGAAAAGAACATTTATAAAAAAACAATTTCCTTGGGCAGTCATTTTCTGTATTCCCTTTGCTCTTATTTCAGAGCTGTGGGAGGCAAGAAAGAAAGCCCTTATTAAAACAGCTGCTTGTGCTTCATCCTGAGCTGAAGATGTAATTGTATGTTTGGGCCATTGCTGTGTACCAATATGGAAATGGATGTCATGTCAAAATCTCAGCATTAAATACTCATTGTAGGATGAAGAAGAGGCTGAGATGGGGAGACAAGAAGGGGCATTCAAACTGCACATTAAATAATTAGCAGGGTAGCAAGACAACTTAGGAAAAATGAAGCATGTGGGATGGTATCTTAACTACCCCATCAATTTTCTTCAGCACGAAGAATTTTCTGGTGCAAAAGACCTTCAGTTTAACAATTCTGTAGCCACAACAGGTATTTAAGAACCACGCATTGACACGATTCCTACAAGAGAAGATTTGTTTGCCAGCGGTACCCAAAAGCTTTTTATGGGATCTTATCACTCTGCTGGAGACCTTGAGAGAGGGTAATGACACACAGCTGTATTGTGGCAGCTACATCTTGTTTTTTCCCCCGTAAGAGGGTTAAAGGCAGATCACAATATTAAAGTTACTGATAAGCAGCCAGAGTTACAACCGCTGTAAGTAAGTAAAGCTGTTTATGTCTAAATAAATCAGTGCAGTACACGATGTCTTCTACAAGATCTTCCTTCTAGTGCAGTACTTACTTAAAAATCATCCTGCCAGTGCTACCTGGACTACCTCTAGAAACCACTACATCCAACAGAGATTCAACATGTCTGCAGCTACTCACCTTTTTTTTGTTGCACTCCATTGCCAGCCCAGGCAGCCCCCACCCGCTCCTTCCCTGAGGGACCAGGCAGGAAGCTTTCTGTCCCTGAGGCCTCCCAAGGCACCGGGGGACACTACATCGCCCCTCAGAAGGAGCCCTGTCCTCTTTGCACAGCGCAGCCCATAGCAAAACACCCTAGAGAATCTGAAGCGCTGCACAAATCAGGGGCTAGACAATAAATAAGCTTTCCTGGAAAAAGGGAGATGTGATTTTTAGAACTAGTATGTATTCAAGCAGGACGCCATGGGCTGCAGGAGGAGAAAATCTCCAACAAACAAAATCTACGCAGCTGACCACGGCAGAGTTACCCAGCAGCAACTCATACATCAGGCTGACTTAGACCAGGGGCAGGACAGCTTGACAGTCAGAGATCCAGCTCCGCTTCTCTGCTATTCGTCTGCCAAACATCTCCTGGCACTCAGAAAAGCTTGTCCGTTAGAAGCCTTGAAGGCACCAGATTTTCCCTGTGACATCTGCATCATGTGTACTTTTCAATTTGGTAACAAGCATCTCCACTTAGCTAGTAGAGCAACAATGTTATCAAGGCCCTTGCTTGTTTACAGGTATGTAGGAAAGCAGAAGGAGATGTGGCCAAGACCTGTCAAAGATGCACTTTTAAAAAATCTGTTTCTCCACTTGGCAAGGAGTACGAATCTAAAGAAAGCAGTTTAAAAAATGATTTCAACTCATTTACACAAACTGCCTGCACCAGAACAGGAGGATCAAATTATGAAGTCTCCAGAGCCAAAATGAGAATCTCAGGCCTCATTTCCATTACTGAAATCTCAGTAGTTTCTACTATTGATTCTTGCGTGAGCGTGATTAGATTTTAATGATGTTCTGCTGTCTCTACCTACACAGGCATAGCAGCAAACCATTGGTCAAGATGAATTAATCAGGACTTACACGTCTGGCTGCCATGGGCATCATATCAAACGTTTTGCAACTGGTGAACGTGCCAGCTGACTGCTGTGCCTGAGAATGCTCCAACTGGAAACCCTGTCTGCAGTGATTTGCTGCCAAGGGTGGGAGGGAAGCAGCAGGCAGTACCACTCGAGTCAGTCCTGTGGGCATCTCTCCTTTCCAGTGATGGAAGCTCGATGTCTGGCAGTTGTCCCTCAGCCTCTGACAAAAGCGAGGGGCAGGCTGGGTCCAGTCCTCCAGATGGTATAGCCGTAATTGTCAAAGCAGATGGTTCTGTTTAGGTTTGTGTACTGTACTCATTTCCCTGCTATCTACTTTAAAATAGGGGTGCCAAGTGGGTCTGCTGACGTTACTCCCATGTGGGTGACCTATGCAACTGCAGAAGCACACAAGACCTGGGGCCTGCTCTGCTCCATACCCTGCTACAGTTTACTGCTGAACGTGTGACAAGGGTGTCCACGCAGAGTTGCTCCAGTGTGGCTCTCAGAAGCAGGGGCAAGTTTCTGCTTCCCTGGCCCAGGAACCAGCCTCCTCCCACAATGCTGGAACTCAAAGGCAAGGGCCTTTATGCCAGAGATTTACTTGCTGCCAGCCCTGCAAACGAGGGAGGGCCAAGGCGCCATCCCGGACATAGTCCCCATCAGACTGGTTTCAGCCCTGGGCGAGCAGCGCCAGCACCTCCCACTGTGGGCTTCGAAATGGTGCCTCTGGGGTGGGCCACAGCATGTGCCTGTGCAGGTCCCCTGATCCCAGACATGCTCACCCCACAGCCCTGCGCACCAGCAGAGCTGGGAGCTGCTCCCCTTTCTCCCCTTTGCACAGGCACACCAGACTGAAACTGCTTTGGAGACCTCTGGAGTAAGATGCTATATTTGATGGCAAGTTGGGCGTGAGCTGTGTAATTACCTAAGTGGTAATTATGTAAGCACACAGTGCCCCTTCCTTGGCACATGCATCCTACCATACAATGTTCTGTGTCTATAATCAGTGCTCACAGCTTTCATCTGTCTGTGTTTTAGTACCTTATACAGCAGAGACCGAACACAAAACCTCTTAAAAAATTTACACTGTTAACAGCTTCCTGCAGCGAGCACATATGTGTATGCACGTCTGCACGCTCACCCTGTCCAACCCTCCCACCCTTTCCCGTTGGATCTGTCTCTACCACTGCAGTTCATTCTCACCCTCCCCAAGCACTGCAATTCATCTGCTGTTGTGTATATATAGCCCTTTCTGCCCTCGGGCCATCCAGTATCTCTGCCTACTGCTGAGAATTGTTATAAACATTTGTTATTCTTCTGACATCCAGGCAACCAAAATACTTTTCTAAATGTGGCAAGGTTTCTGCAGTTTGATGGCATCACTCAGCGATGGCAAACAGTACTGTTATTTCTCTGTGTCCAATTTCAGAACACAGAGGACAACATGCACATTACAAGGAGTTGGTAATTAAACAAGAAAAGCATCTCTGAAATTCTTGACATTTCATAACCTGTCAGAAGTGCTGACACACAAATATATCACAAGGCAAGAAACCCCCGTAGAAGAGCATTAGTACCCTGGCTCTACCTCCACAAGGAAGCCAAGAGTTAAGACCTGAGTTCTGAAGCTTCCCTTTCAAATGCAGACACCAAACTGATAGGTGTGCCATAACCCCGCAGGCACAGAACCGCTCTAGATTCCAATGGTTTTCTTATTAATACTTTATCTCCTTTCTGAAGCTTTTACTTTTCCAATCCCAAATTTCCAAATGCACATGCCTGAAGTCAAGCACTAAATCCTTATTTATGACGCCTGTCATATGCAGCTGGCTATTCACAGAAGCAGACCAACAAGAAGGCTAACTTAATTAATAACCACAAGCATCTCCAAAATAGAAAACAACAAACCAGGAAGTTTAAGTGTCACCAAGTAGGGTAAAGAGCCATATTTGCAATGGTTACACTTAGTTTATAATCATACAAAAACCGTGAACTGGCTTCAGTACTATTCTAAAGTTGTACTTGGATTAAATCCATATGTGCTAGAAAGATGGACACCCACCCTGTGTATTTCAGAGTGTTAAAAGCTTGAAAGCAGACCAGGGAAGTTAAATATCTTCATTGCAAGTTAAATGTCTTCATTAACAGTTTCACTGACGAACACCTGAGAAGAAGCAGTCATCTAATGTACTTAACTAGATGACAATAATTAATCTGAAAAGACAATGCATTCCGCATACATGAGCTGGCAACAATTTTAAGTGAATGACAGATTACTCCCTATCACAAAACACCTCCAAATTTTGTCTACAGACACAGCAGTCACCGTACTCATCATAAGCAGTTCACAATTTTAGATACAAATCACCAAGAGCTTATTTTTCAGACTGTCCTAAGCAAGATCATATTTAAAATGAGGCAGAAACTAGCTTTATCATCAGTACTTGCTTGAGAGGTCCATGATAGGTTGTGGAAGAGAGGTGGTGGAGGCCCCATCCCTGGAAGTGTTTAAGACCAGGTTGGATGAGGCTTTGGACAATGTGGTCTAGTGGAGGGGGGCTGGAACTAGATGATCTTTGAGGTCCCTTCCAATCCAAACCATTCTATGATTCTATGATAGCACTTGCTCAAAGCAGCAAGGATAAAAGAAAGGCCAGACCTCTCCACTTTTGATCAGGGATACACCAAATCGGAACTCTCTTTGTGACTAAACTCAGGTGAATTATATCCTTTTCCACCTGCTAATGCTTGGGAACCTAGGCCTTACTGTCCCTTAGTACCTAGTAACAGATACTCTCAGTTTAACTGGAAGTCATAGATTAGCTTCCACTGACCTTTCACTCAGGTCTGAATCGAACTGTGAAACTGAGATCTAGTGTCCAGTCTGTTCAGAAGCAGGATTTAATTGACTTCAGGTCACATTGCTTAAATCTCTTCGGTTGTGTCACCTTCTAACACTAAACATGCAGATGTACCTGTAAGACTATATACACACAAGGCATTTTCATCTATTATATGTATATAGTAGATATAAAATTTATCCTTCATCAACACTCTAAATTATTTCCTTTTAAAGTAATCCATGTACTAGTACACACTGATTCTAAAATTGCTATGCAAATGGAGTAAGCAGTCACAGATTCAAAGGCCAGTAAAATCAAAAAGGTACTTACGTGTTTTGCTGCTGTAGAAGAAATTTCTTTTTTTTCTAGAAGGTTCAGAAGGTCAGCCAGGAGAAAAGAACTGACTGGGCTAGGGAAAAAGGGGGCAGAAGTTACCTCAGAGAATAAGGTGAAGTAATATATCTAGGCTACTGTTGCTTGCCTGAAGATCACAGTTTAGCATGACAAGCTAGTATTTTTCCTCATGAAATATATTCATATATTCAACTTTGGTATTGACAGCCTGACTGTGCCCTACCATTGCCATATTCCAAAGAAGGAAGACTGATTACTACTCTTAACTACACAGTCCTCTTCTTTGCAAGGTATTGGTTAACTTCATTCAGCGTGACAGCATCAAGGCCTACGTAACAAACCTCACAGATAGTAACTAAAGCAGAAGCAAGCAATGGAGTGACGTGATACTGTTCATGGCACATAAGAAAAGAATCACTTGTTTCACATCTGTAGAAATCAAGAAGCCTGACCTTTCCTTTACTGTAAGGGAATGTTGTTTCAAATAACTGAGCAGGTCATTTAGAATCCAGCCGATCACCTTCTTTGGCTTCATTTGGGTCTGTTTTACCACATTTTCAAAGAACTCTGTTAATCCATCTTCATTCTGTTTAAGAAAGAAGTTAAATGCATCAAAAAGATACCAGAGCGCAAACATAATTACACAATTACATTTGGAGTATAAATACTCAATCCTAAAGTAAACTTTTTTTGGTGAATTTATTGCAAGGTCACAAGACTTTGGAGTAATTTTATTAACATAACAGCAAACTCTATTATGTCCAGAATAGGTACATACAGCTCATCTGCCAATAAACAAGCAATCTTTTTTCTCTTAACTCCTCCCTAAAATTAGCATTTGGGGAGAACCTTTCTCATCTTCTCACATGTTTTAAGTATGTATATTACTAGCAAATCTAATGCTGCCATCTAACAGGCTATCATGCTACCTTTTACCGAGAAGAATTTTTTCCTGAAACTATCTACAGCTATTTCACTCTTGATCTTGCAATGACTTCTATTTATTTTGGATTGAAGGAATAAGTTTAGCTTGCATTCATCCTTCAATGATACGGAAAGGTCATGGGTTTTATTTTTCTAGTTTTTTCAGAGAAGCTATGTAAGCTTTTCCACAGCACCCTAAAAGCTCAGAAGGTATGACAGTAGGGGATTCAATTTATAGCCTAAGTGAAATCTGAGATTGTTTTTAGAAGAACAGATACTGCACAGTCTGTTGAATGCTGTGCTGTTTGTCATCAAGGCATTGATGGATCTTTAACCGTAGCAGAGAACTCATTAGGTCGACTGAAGTCTGAAGAGCTATTAAGTGGTAACTCCTACCTTTTCAAGGAGGAATCCAAATCCAGTGTGCCACTGGACTTCTGCAGTGTGTGGCATAAACACACAGGAGGACAAGCCAGCTCTCAGCAGTTGAGAGGCAGCAGTTCAGAGACAGCCAAGGAGCTATTCTAAGTATACTGTCATCACAGCAAAAACATTTCCCAAGCACATCTTGACTGCAGCCAGATCTCTGGTTCCGAGCAAAAAGAGTGCAGGTACACACTAAACCAAAGCCTGACTTTTCCACTCAAACACAACCCATCAAAACAATCTCATTTGCCCTTGTTTTTAAAGGCAATTTATCACCATAGCAATACAGAATTTTAGACTTTCCTCCTCAAAACTTTCACAATACAAACTTCCAACAGCTCTAGATACCACATTTTTCATTGGTAATGATGTATGGCTTTTGAGAAGACTGCAGACTACTGCTCTCTGTTCTGTGAAACAGAACAAAATGTACTTAGATTAATGGTTGATATGCTGTAAAACTGGTGTGACAAAAATCAGACCTGTCCCCTCTACCCTGAGCAAAGAAACCAAGTTCTCAGCCTAGGAAAGCCAATGAGGACTTTTGTGAACCAAGGTAAACCTTCTAAGTCCTCCTAGTTATCTATCTAATACACACAGCTATAATTCCCTTCTTTTCAGTGTTCTTACAAATTTAACTAGCAGTTAATTTGTAAACAAATTATTTAAAATCTAAGGCTAAACAGACTAGCGGAACAAATTTGGCTTAAAAAAACCCAGTAAAGGAATGGCATGATTACCAGAGTACAGTAAACTTGATTAAAAACTCTATGTGTGTGTGTGTTAAGTGGAATTACTAAAATGATGCATTACTAAATACTGTACTCTTTCTAATTCACCTCAGGATTCAATAGCACAAACACACACTGATTATTTAAACAGCGGGTTCCCTTCCACAAAAACACCTGTCCAATTTAGGGAGGAAAAAGTGAGCACGTATAAATGCTGGTTTCTTTACACATGCTGCAGAAGGTTTTACAAACACTCCAGGCAGAGTAGGTCTAGCTATAACATAACGTACACAAAACCAATGTCTGCAGATGCCACATGGCTGAATGCAGGCTACACAACTCTGACACACGACGTCCAACACTTTCATCATGTACAGGCTAGAGAGCGCATTTCTAGCGGTGGGCACATTCCTATTTCTGGATATCAACAGCCTGGCTGGAGCTACAGCTCTGGCCCTCCTGCCAGACTTTTGAAAAATCAAGGACAAACATACCCAGCCTTCACATTTTAATCAGATGATTTCCAGGCAGCAAGAGAAGAAAAGCCTAGGAATACTCAGACAGACTTACATATGCTACCAGGTACCGAACCCCATATTCACAACTTGTGCACATAAAACCAGACATATTCCCCAAAATTCCTTTGCATTTCATTTTAGGTTTTTTTAAGTGACTGTCATTTTCTGCAGCCAAAGAGTAGGAAAACCCAGCAATGCTAGACTCAAATGAATAAGGCAGAATGTCAAAACATCAAAATGACTGACAGAAATGCAACATTTCCCTTATTTTCTTGCCATATTAGAAAAATGCAGACATAACTTGATAAGTTTTAATTTCTGGATACTGTACTACTTGAACTTGACTTTAATTTGTTCTGCGTTTTCATCAACTTTCTTCAAGCCAAATTCACTCCAACTACCAACGCACACACGTATCTGTCCCATGCGATAGATGTGAGCTGAAAACCACTGCATGCTCTAACATGCTGGTTTACAGGAATGCTAACTGACTGTCCTCACTTAATTCTGAATAACATATTTGTCATGGTTTAACGCCAGCCGGTAAGCAAGCATCACGCAGCTGCTCGCTCACCTTTCCCCATCCAGAGGGATGAGGAGGAGAATGGAAAAAAACCTTGTGGATTGAGATAAAGACGGTTTGTTATTGTTAATAAAAAATATAAAACAAGGGATGCACAAATGCAATTGCTCACCACCTGCGGAAAAATACCCCTGATGCCTAGTCTGTTTCCGAGCAGCGATCCCACCTCCTGGCTTGCTTCCCCTGTTATATAGGGAGCATGACGTTCTATGGTAGGGAATATCCCTCTGGCCCGTCTGGGCCAGCTGTCCTGGCAGTGCTCTCCCAGCTTCTTGTGCACCTGGCAGGGCCTGAGAAGCTGAAAAGTCCTTGACTTAGTGTAGGGACTACAACTATCTAGCAACAACTAAACCCAACATTATCCTCATCCTAAATTCAAAGCACAGCACTATATCAGCTGCTAGAAAGAAAATTAACTCTATCCCAGCTGAAACCAGGATAGTATTTTAATCTTCATAGAAGGAAACCCAGAAATCCTGAATCGCGGCACCGTGTTTGTGATCCAGGCCCACTCGGTGCTCCCATTACACACCAAATATGCTGTAACTCACTCATTAGTCTCACTGGCATGAAATTGACATATCAATACTTCAACCAGATGCAAATTCCTTTCTTAAACATGGTTTAAAATGATCATTTAATAGTACTGAGATGCCAAAAAAACCCTAGTGGTGGAGTTATTTCAGATGCTTTTTAAACAAGTTTAAAACAATACATTATTTTACAAAATACCATGCGTACAATCTTTAGGGACATTGGGTCTGTAACGCAAACTTATGCTTTTAAAGACCAATAATGTTTCCCAAAGAACTGAAGAAGAAAACTACATCAATGTTCACAAATAAAATGTCATTTTCTGCTGTCTTATTCCCATTTTCACCATCACAGCTCCCACCATAGCCAACTGTGAGGTAACAACTGCTGCGAAAATGTGCAAGATTGTCAGGGGAGAAAAACCCTGAAAATCTAGTCTATTAAAGCTAGATTTAATATCTGCTAGCTATTAAAGCAGACACGCAGAGCAGCCAAAGAAAGTTCAAAGTTTTTCCTACAGCTTTGTATAAAATGATTTAAGTTCTAAAAATAAGCAGAAATTCACCTGCACAGCAACGTGTATGAGGACGGTATGTCATAACAAAATGGTCAAAACCAACTTCTACAGCATCCCGTTTTTGACTGTTCGAAGGATTCACCAATGTAATTGTTCTACCAAAGCAATAAGCCAAAGCCCAAGTGGAAGGGCCACTTGTATCTGAGTAAGCAGAGGAAAAGTAAATGCACGGGAAGACTTGAAATTCAGATGAGAAAAGTGATCAGTGTTTTTTTCTAATGCTGTACTGTGACAACTGATCTATTTTTTGGTTGTACCTCGCTGGACTTCAGCAAGCTTTTTGAAAACAAAATGTCACATTGATGTCTACGTCAATAGATGTTACTCATTGACTCAATAGGAAGCAAGGCAAAAATACTATAATACCGTAACTGGCAAAATTGTCAGAGATCCTTCTTGACTGAAGTATTTGCCAGCCTACCAGTTTACACAGTGAAGTAGAAATTGCATGCAGAAACTGAGTACCAAAATACTATGGAGTCTACTTGGCTCGGAGAATTTTATCTTTATGAGTAAGAATGGTTCTACATGAAGAAAATCAGAAACTTCATTTATTTTCGCAATTTATACAAAACTGTAAAAAATGTAGCAGTTTACACTTAAGAAATTTCAGATATAAAGATATTAATAGGTAACGCTTTTCTTCCATTTCAGTACATCTTGTAATTAAGCAAAGCAGGAGTCTCAGATTCTCAATAGTGCCATATGTACAAGTAGCTATTGGATATGAGAATAAAGCCCACGAAGCAAGCTTGGAAACTAACTTGCATGCTGAAGTATGGTATTGTTTTATTGTAACTTTGGTGCATAATGTTTTCTCTAACAAGTTGGCGCAGAACAGAGATTTTGCATTTTAGAGTCATCCCTCTACCACTGCCATTTATTTAATGAGCACTCCTGGGCGCGCTAACCTGAAAGAACGCTCATTAGATTTGTGCATCTGGCCCTATCAGCAATCTTCTGCAACTTCTGATGTAAGCTTAACACAGCAACGGACATACTGTTTTCAGATGAATTAAGGTTAACTAGTCTCCCAGTGAACAGGCAAGCAACTTTTATGGAGAGTATACATGCTGACATTCTAATTCACAATAAAAGAAGACCTGCAATGAAGAACACGTTCACTTCATGCATTCAAATGGATGCATTATCTTATTACAAGCTGAATCCCAAATTTCAGCTTGGAGCTTATTAATTGTCTTATACGTTGCAAAAAGGAAAAAAGTTAAAAGAGAAAAAGCAAAGGCAACAGTGGATTTCAGAGAACAGCTGGAAAGAAAGGACAGTTGATGAGGCAAATATATAGGTCTAGTTGATAGAGACAGCAGAAACCGCACAGCAGAAAAAAGCAAAGGCAACAGTGGATTTCAGAGAACAGCTGGAAAGAAAGGACAGTTGATGAGGCAAATATATGTCTAGTTGATAGAGACAGCAGAAACCACACAGCAGAAGCTGTCAATACTGGCAAAATTGAAACACGCAAGAAGTAGGTTGATGCCAAGTTGAAAGGAGTGGTTGTACTGGGTCTGGCTGGGATGGAGTTTATTTTCTTAAGAGGGTGCTGTGTTTTGGATTTGTGAATAAAGCAGTGCTGACAGCACACTGGTGTTTTGGCTATTGCTGAGTGGTACTTCCACTTTTTCCCACTCTGCCCCCCACAGTGAGTAGGCCGAGGGCGGGCATGAAGCTGGGCAGGGACACAACCTGGACAGCTAACCCAAATTGACCAAGGGGATATTCCATGCCATCTAATGCCCTGCTTGAAAAGGAAAACTGAGGGAAGGGGATTTTGGGGGAGATAGTCTTTGTCATTGGCTGGAGGCTGGTTGGGCATCAGCCTACTTGTGTGAAGTGGTGTGCTTGCATTTGCATCACTTTTGGGTTTTTCCCTTCCTCTTTCCTTCACTTATTTAAGTGAAAATTATCTCAAAACACGAGTTTTCTTGCTTTTGCTCTTCCTATTCTCTTCCCTGTTGCACCAGTGGGGGGGAATGAGCAAGCAGCTGTGGTGCTTAGCAGTTACCCAGGGTCAATCCACTACAGAGGGGGAGAAGAAGAAAAAAAGCTCCTGAACCCTTTTTCTCTGACTTATCTACCCTTCTGAGCTCTGTTTATTTTAATATGTGAGAAATATGATCATGTGAAAAATGCATGCATGGACAGGAATACTGACTGTGAAATGACATTTTGCAACTTACACAATGAAATAGAAAGGTAAGAACTACTGACACCTCTCCATGCTATCACTGCAGCCTCATGACTTTGATGAGACTTGTAACTCACCTGCCCACCAAAGAGGAAAAGATCTGCAATTCACTAAAATGGCACACCGCCACAAAAGCAGTTTTCCTAACAGCTTTCTTCATAAGAAAGAACTTTTTTTTTCTGTAGAACCAGCTTCTGTACAAGTGTATTCAATTACAGACACACAAAGGAGGGTTATTAGGTAGTTAAGTTAGGTGTACTGCTCTCCCTCCATTTATAGTCAAGGGAAAGGAACTCTTCCAGAGGACAATTTAAAGTACTTATGGTTCTGCTCTCAGCCTTATTCTAAACAAGTCCTTTTCCTTCTGTCTCCACTAATCACAGAGATAACCAAAGCAGGACACTGTCCTAGCTTAGCTGCCTACATGAAATCTCTAATCTTGAGCAGGTATACTAACACTCCCCACCCCCACCCCCCGCCATCGAGTTATCACTGGCAAACAGAGATGATGCAGTTTATATTTAAGAAGCTCAAAGTCCTTTAGAATAATTTCAGAAGTTATGAGATTTCTCTGTCACTTCCTTATTTATATCCATATTTGCCATGTCCTTTCCTTTCTCATCCCCTCTTCTGAACCTATCCCTGGTAAATTGCATTGTGAGGTCAAAGCTGATGTTATACAGCCATTTTGTGTATGTACCTAAGAATAAGTCTGGTTTTTTTTCAAAATGATGTGGAACCAGATCAACGGGCATGTAAGCTGAAAGATTTAAACTTTGAGTTTTGCATCTGCAGTCAGGAAAACACATCTATTAATTTCTTAAATACTGACAACATGCCCAGCCTTGTACCAGACCCAAAGATAAGAAAAGCAGGCACTTGCGGGCAAGGATTTGTCAGCAGAAAGTTGTACATTTGTTGCAGTCAGTCACGGGTGCATCCATGTATAGACAGACAAGATCAATATTAAATAATAGTTATTTGACTGCACCTTGCATGAGAAACACTTCTAGGCGAACTGTGTATGGGTTCTTTTCCTCACCATTCTATGGATATGGCTCCAAGGTACAAAGTATGCATTGGACATATTTCCAACTAAAAAACATCCATGCGAACTGACAGCTGGTTAATATGACATTTGTAAATCTTTTCAAAAACTGTGCAACTTTGAAGTTTCTAGGCTTATTTTAGCACTTGATCAATAGACGTACCAATAAGGTGAAGCTGTGTTCAGGAAGAATCCCATACCGTTCAACGAGCTTTGCTCTCTTCACACTGGGAAGGTCAGGAAGCCTCTCATGAATCAAATCAATATTTACCACTTGCTGATGGTTCATATTAGCTGGCAAAGATTTTGCATCGTACAGAATCAACGGAGGAAGGTTTGGCTCCGGCATAAACCTAGTAAACATTAAGAAAAACTCCTTTATAATTATTTTCAGTCAGAAGCTAAACAACAAAGAATAATTTATATCACAAGTTTATACTAACCTGGAAATTGTATTATATTTCAACTAAACAAAATATAAAACATTCATGACTTGGTGTATCACTGTTAAGCAGTAAAAGATCAACCCTGAACTGCTGCAAAGCCTCTATTTTCTTTTAGTATTTGTTACTGGTTGCCAAAGAGCTGATGATAGAAAATGGGTAATTAACACTTCTGCAGCCAAAATAATAATAATAAAAACCCCAATAAAACCAGTAAAAATAGAAATGAAAACAACCCACTCCTTTTGGCATCAAGAATGAATTGTGGATCTGGGCAAAAAGGGGAGTGGACCGGCAAGGAAAAACCCAGATTGACAGCCAACTGCCAGGAGTGATCTGGGCAGGTTGTAACCTTTTCCAGACTAACTTCAAAAATCTTGATGAAATCTCACGCTGTGCTAAAAGCAAAGTTACTGTGCTCAGCAGGGTGCCATCACAGAACAAAAGGCTCCCTTAAAGAGAAGGCCAATTCAAACCACTCGAATAACTGTGATTGAAGCAGAAACCTAACTTTTACATGATCAAATGAGGGGTTCAAAAATATCAGCATAAAGGACATCGGGCACCCCCTACGTTTACTATAATAATTTCTATTTCAAATCTGCCTAAACATAGATTTTAAGTTTAATGTATAATGTGCAGCAGTAAGTTACAAAAAAAAAAAAATCTGAAAAACAGTTTAATACTGATCATAATCTTAGCAACAGTAATAATCTTTCTGGTCTTTACTTGAAGTATCTTAGACTCGCCAGTTTTGCCTAGGTTTTCATGAATTTTCTTTTGCATTTGTTCAAATTAGTCTTGTTAAATAAACCTCATGCCAGCCCCTACCATAATAAGGAATTCACAAAGATCACTGCCTTTTCTGCTGCATTTCTACAAACAATAATGTAAAAAGCAGATTTAAGTTTAAAGTTTGTGGTTACTTTCAAAATCCTTGCTCTGCTCTGGTAAGATCAGCGGTAGAATATATGTAAATCTAAGAGGAACACAGATATGGCAAAGCTAAGAGGCTCTGAAAGTCTCTCCCAGCTGCGGAGTGAACTCTGGGAGTAACAGAAAGACTGTCTCTGGGAAGCAAAGCTAGGGAACCACTGGCAGGATCAGTGCTAAAATGGCCCTAACCAGGGAAGGAGGCAGGCAGGCACAGAACAGGGGAAGGGGTGCCCAGAGCAATCGGCAGCCACTGAACTGCATCACTCTTCCCCATCCCATGCAGACACCACTGTGATTACCTCCCGTGCTAGGGCACTAAGCAGCCGTGCTGTTGCTTTGCACTTCTTCCCAGCAGCACTGCTTCCCAACAGTACCCATGCCTCATCCCCCTGCCCTCTGGCTAAATCCTTCTTGGGTGGCTGTTCATGGTTTGATGGCTGTCATCTCACACTGATGGAAGGCAAGAAGTACTTAGCAAGGTAACATCTTCATTAGGGCTACAAAGATCGTAAGGTAGAAACCTGTGTATGAATGCTGACACCTTTCAATAGTAGGTAGGATTTTCAAACAGTGATTGTGATCTATGGTCACAGAATTTAGGCATGCTATCTGAAAAACATTTCCCTCAGTATTTTCTTAAAGCCGGAACAATGCTTAACTCAGAATATTGTTACATTTTATGTCTGGTATTCTTAAGAATACACGTGTACTAGCCACAAAGTAAACCTTCAACTTACCCATTGTGAGCTAAGGTACTCCAGTTTAGTTTTTGGGAAAGGTCTATGAGTTTTAGCAGAGATGAGACACAGTTCTAGATCTGAACTGCTCAGACTCGCACAGATTTTGACAGGTCTCTCCCCTTCCAGTGGAAGGTAAACTTCCAATACATACTCACTATGCTGACTAGCTTTATATGCTCATTACACTGACTACATTTAAGAAATGAAATAAATTCTTAGTTCCTGAAATGTCAATTTCATTTAAAAAAAAAATACCGATAATCCTGTTTTCCTTCTTTGTCTCTCATTGGTACAGTGCACCTAAAATAAAAACAAAACCAGTAAGAATTAGTTTTACGGCAAAAACACAAAACAAAAACTTTGCCCCATGAAAATCAGGAGAGCTTCTTAAGGCCGCTTCAAAGAATGCCTGTATATAAGAGGGCAGACATTTTCACAGAGACATTGCTTGATACAGCACACAATCTGTTGTGAAAAAGCCTCAACTTTAAGAATAAACTACTACCTGTGAGGAGACTATGCTTGTGAACATCAGCTTTAGAAGACAGAAGTTGAGCAATATTACATTACCTGGTAGTGTCCTGACCATGTCACTAGGTATCCCTGACAATCTAAAGCTCCTATTCCTGATGTTCCTCCAAAATAAAAACTCACCCAAGCTTGGCATCAAAGGCTCTTGTTTCATTCAGAATTGTTCCTCCACTTTCAAGTTCTTCAATTTGCCTCTGTATTTCGTAGTCTGACAGAAACAAAAGAAAAAGGAATGTTTGTTATACTGCACTATTAGCTTTTGTACACTCCACTATTTCATTTTTCACAGCTATGCAATAATGGAATAGTCTGTGGTTTTAATCATAATGAAATAAACAGCAGTAGTTACAGCCAGAATTATCAGTCACTGCATCTCTCTCCAGCACTGTTTCTTTCTTTGTATGTTTTCCTCATCTTCTTTCATTCCCTTTAAATAGAAAACATTTTCTCACAGGCACTGCAGCCAAGCCATACATTCCTAGTGACCTTTCTATCACCCAGTTGAGTTTTCTTTTGGAGATGTAATAATCATCCTTTCTTGCTCATACCCAAGCTGCATCTGAACTTCATACACACCACCTACCATACTGAATGGAAAGCAATCATCTACATTAGAGGACACAGCTACTGCTAACATATTTCAGTACTAAACATGCTAGGCATTGAATCATCTGCGTTACTCTTCTTGCAGGCAGAGGGTTACCTCTGCAAGAAAATGGCAGGCTAACATGGCTGCTATCCTCACAGTACCCCATACTAAGATTTATTCTATCAGGGAGCAGCAAGAGTGGGGCTGCTCCACAAGGGGGGACAAACCAGGAGCTGAGGGTCACTACAGCACAGGCAGTGCCCTCACTGCCCAGTGCAGTCCCACGGGTCTGAACAGCATGGGCAGAGAGGCACGTGCTATTAACAGGGCCCGCTGACAGTTTCAGTCAAAGTGAGGGGATGAGCTGGGTCCAAGGTCCATCCAGGGAGTTCAGACAGAAGCAGGAGGAGGTAAGTCCAGAGACAGGACTGGGAACAAGACTACAGAACAGGTCCAAGGTCCATCAGGAGACAGGACTGAAAACTGGCACATCTGTGATGTAGCTTAGGCAAAGTCTGAAGGCCCCCAGCCCGAGCTTAAAGGGGACTTCTGGATCTGTGGGCAAGACGTGTGGATGGGACATCCAGACAAAGGTAGTCAGGGCATTTAAGGCCAATTACTGCCATCAACAGCCTCACATATTTCATGTGTAGACCACATTAAATATCTACAATGCTTCTGTAATGAAGCAACCATCACTTACCTACTGCTTTTGCCAGGAATCGTATGCTATTTATATTCTTCACTTCAGTCCTCACTCCGTAAGGCTCTCCAGGGTGATGCACAGAAACATTGGCATCCACTCTCAGCTGACCCTCTATAAAAGGAAACTTCATCAACAGAATAGTCTGCCCTGTAAACTAGAGTAAAAACCCTGTCATGCATTAATAAACTGCATGTTATGTGCAGAGAATTAGTAGCAGACTTCCATATGTTCAGAAAGGAGTAACAACCACCTCATTATAGTGTTCTGTTTGTGATTCCATCTCAAGACTCTGCCTCCAATCATTCAAAATTTTCTGAGAATACTACTTTTTTAAAAAAATTACTGCTCATAATTCCTCTCAGAGAAAACTGCATAGTGCAGTGCAGCACAGATCCTCTAAGCCACATCATGAAAAAAGCTTCTGATTCACAGCTCTTAAATAAAGGGCAGAATTAGACAAGCAATTTAAAGTAGTGGATTGTGAGCACCCATTCCTCTAAAAACAGCATCAAAATATCTTTTGGAATTACAATTTGATGGATATGTACTACTCTAGCATAGAACACAAGAACTTACAGTTATGCTGAACAGATTTACTAAGGCATTCTTGGAAATTTACAGCTCAAGGACAAAATGTGAGAAGTAGTGGATTTTTTTGTAATTTTCTTCCTCTCCTTCAAGAAACTGCAATCTCCCACCCTGCCCCGAATTTCCCTGGCTGCCAAAACCAGAAACTGAATACAAAGTCATATATAAAAGCATCCTGCATTTTTCGTCTAAAATGGAATAATATCCTTAGAGATCTTTAATGACTCAACCACAAGTAACTCGTAATTGTATCTTTGTAAGTTTTGTCCCTCTAAAGACATCCCTTCTGAGAAGAAAAGGCTTGCCACAGTTATTCAACTGTGGGAATAAACAAACAGGAGAGGTTGTACTAAAAAGAAACATAATTTTTTCCCATATTGCACTGTGAACATCTGTAGCCTTCCTCTCTGGTTTTTTTTCTTTTTTTAATTTTAATTTCAAATACAGATAAAAGGAAACAAATACTTACTGTTTAGATACAGTAGCATTATTAAAGAGAACGCAAATTATCTTCACAGGTTTAACTCTGAGCTATCTACAGCTTCAGAATCCATTCCGGTCAATAGATGTAAATTGACTAGAGGCGCCTTGGTACACTTTGTAAAAGAGGGCTGGATGATAGTGCACTAATTTCCTCTATCTTCATAGAGTCTTGCCAGACACGCAAATGAAGGACAAAGGTGCTGGAATGACCCAACAACTCTTTCAAGAGAAGTGTTTTGCATGTGCTCCCTCTTTGGGGTGAAATGAGTACTTGTTCCAAAAGAGGAATAGTCTTGTCCTGCCCTTGCTTCATTTTGAGACATGACCTGCTTCTACTTGGATGTAGGTGTCAATGTGACAAGACAATGAAGTTAATCGGGCATAAGTGAGAGGAGAGCCAGTCCCCAAATGTTCTTAAAAAAAGCTTTTTATCCTTTAAGGCCACTTTAAGACCAGCTTCTTTCCCTTTCACTTTGCAATGAAATCATCTTTTCATCTTTTTTTTGTTAACGATCTGATAAAACCAGGGACTTGTCTTCACTGAACACACAAGTAGAATGAAGGAATGTAAAGCCCTTATTTGAAAGAAATTATGATGAGAGAAAACCACAGTAGAAAGCCCCTAAAAACGCCACCTTGACAAAAAAAATCCAAATACTTTCAAAGCCAACTATACTGGAGGAAAAATATTCCCAACACTGGAATTCTCCTCTGAAGTCAGAAATCTCACTGTGATAAAAGATAACATAGTGCAATCCCAAGGACAATCTGGGGCCAAATTCAGTAGCGATAAATGATGGTATATATGTGCGTCCATGAAGGCCTTTGAAGAAGCACGCTAACTGGCTGCCTAATATTAACAACTGTGCCCCATTTGACACGTGTAACACTAGCGTGAGAAAAGATTCAGACACATATATACGATGTCTAACAATTATTATTTCCCCCACATTAAATTAGATTTGCATCACTAGCCAACATTTATTGGATCCCATTTATCGGGTGATACATGGACCACTCTGACTCAGTTCTCTAAGAGATACATCTGCTTATATTACGGACAGAATTTGCTGCCAGAACAGTGAGGCCAACTGTCACAGGCAAAAATATAGCTTACATTGTGAACATTAACAGGTAGCTTATAATTGGGTGTATGTGTGGAGGGGATGAATGCCCAAAACTGTACTCAAGCAGAAGCCTGCTATTTGCTAGCTGTAACCATGGGCTGGTTGTAAATTTTGATAACATTACAACTGAGCAAAAATGGTATGACTTGAATCATCCAATTGATAGACATGAGACAGAATCAGCAGTTAGGAGGCTGATCACATGCTGTGTTTCTGCACATCACCTTTTGGGAAAATTGGGGCCTTAGGGTTCCAAAAAGAGGAGCTGGTGCCAAAAGCAGGGGTTCCCAAAAGAGGAAGTGGTCTCAGAAAGACAGTAGTGATCTTGGCCAGAGAGATCCTGGAGGCAGGGGAGGAGCCTGAAGATCAGAGAGATGCATGGAGACAAATGTCAGGGGACGCCCAGGGACCTTGGCCTCTAACACCTGAGACCAGTATCTGCAAGCCTGTTGCACAGCATGAACCAACACAATCTTCTGGCCCACCTGATCTCCCCAGTGATCTCCCCTGTGGGAGGAGAAATTGACACCTCGTGAACATAATACTGGAGGGGAGGGAGAGACAGAGTGAGCATGTGAAATGATCAAGTAGGGTAAAAGCCGCAGTTTAGTTGGTTCTTAAATTAACCCCAGCACCCATGTCTGCTCTGTGGTGTCGTTTACTCCATCTCACCCATGACACCAGCAGAAGTTTACTGCCTGCACCCATTTTATGACTAGCTGAGACCTGACACACAACTCACAAGACAGTCTATGCTTCCACTACTTTGTCCCATAACTTCCATAATCTACATCCCATACTTACTACATATCTTCTGTGCTGCAGCACTGTGGCTAGCAAGATGAGGACAGACAGAGAAACACCACAAGAACCCTGGGGATATTCCTTCCTGCCTAGGCTTATCCTGTAAAATTATTGTATGAGGCAATATAAAATCTAGCACTGCAAATCTCTACTGAGGAAGGCAGGCCCATAAGGACACCTGAAACACGGCAGACATTAGGAGAAGCTCTGAGGATTGTAAAAACAAGATAGAAAAGGCTATGCGTTGTAAGCAACCACAGAGCAAAATAACCAGAAGCTGCACATCTCCTGCAAATGCAGAGAATTACTGGCGACACAGGAACATGCCCTTCCCCCTTCTGTACCTGCCATGACTGCCTGGCTGCTCCCAAGTGTTTGAAGAATGAGCTGAAGCTCTCTGACTGCTGCAGCTGCTTCTTCCCCACAGCACATATCAGGCTCCATGACAACCTCCATGAGGCCGACTCCTGTCAGGGAAAGCGACAAAAGAGACAGGAGATTTTCAACAATAGCTTTTGATCTTGGCGTATTAGAGTGCAACTGGATAAACACATGAAAGCACTTGGGCTTTTTCTGAGGAAAAAAAAAATAAACCCCCATGTATTATTAACTGTCACTATGGGCCTAGCTGCAGATTGCTACAAAAACTTTTGATCCTATTTTTTTAAAGGAACCGACAAACTGCAGACAATCCTCCACCTTTTGATGACATGCAGCTCAGAAGGACACATTTCTCTTCTGCCCTTCTCTAGGAGAACTCCCATTTAAAGCCAATCCGATTCCAGACTCAAATTTATTTGTCTTCAACTAATTTTGGAACAGACAGAACTGTAAACAGATGAGTCTTCAAGATCCAGATTTCAAAAATATGAGCAGTCACAGTCCTTCACTTCAATGGACACCAGAGCACTGCGTCCCAGTTAGGTTAGGCCATCCAGGTTGCTGCCCGTGTTGTATGCTAATTTGGTTCATTCAGTTTACAACTTCAAAGTTTGAAGAGAAAATCTACATTTTTTCAAAGCTAATAATTAAAAAAAAAGTCTGACTCATGCACTGACAAATTCCAACAGCTGCTCCTTCTATACACAAACTTGATTCACTAGGTCTGCGATTTTATTTTTTAATAACGCATACAGTGACAAGAACTTAAATAGCTAAGTGGCTGTATGTGACTGACATATACAGTTTTGAGCAAACTGGAGCCAACAGATTTCTAACTTGCTATTGCCAATTGTCATCAACCAACAGCAATGGGAAAGGTCCACTGGCCATTAAAAAATACAAGTATCCCTCTGCTTCAAGTGTAATGGTCATTGTGATGAATTTTTATTTTCAAGGAGACACACATTGGCTGGTTTTATTTTTCACCTGTTCCCTGTCACCCATTTACCTTTGAAGACTCATCTTACACAGAAAGGAAGAGAAAAATAGGAAAATAATCCAAGCCTACCAGCCCTATTCAAGTCAACGAGAGTCTGGCTCCTTGTGTCATCATGGAGACTCTTTCCACTGTCTTGCTCCAGCTGAATTTGTTTAATCCTCACAGTTTTGGTCACCATCTGGCTCATTTTGTTGTCTACGCAGAGACTGTATGACAGACTTCCATTCACCGCAATAGGAACTCTTTGCTGAGTGATTTGATAGCCAGCCTGTCAACAAAATTAGTTTTATACTCAAATAAAACATTCACTTTTCAGAAAGCAGCAGCATAGCCAAGTGCAAATATTATGGACATCTTCCATAGTGACCTATATAAGAAGATAAAATACATGTAAATTCTGAAGTTATTTTGTTTAGCTGGAAAGGAAGCAAGCTAGATGATGGGTCTGGAATTTGACATGACGGTGAGAAGCTGGAGATTTGGAAAAAATAAGAGCACTCCTCAATACAGGCAAGTATAAGATACTATACTAACGCAGAAAGAATCAATAATTAACTGCACAACCACTTGCCAAGATGACATAAATTCCATTGATACTGTTTTGGGACAGGAAACGGACTAGAAGAGGTTCTTCCACACCTGTGGTTCCATAGTCATGTTAAATCTTGTCTGAAACCAGTTATCGTACCTCCATCCCCAAGCTGGGACTATCACTCATCCACCCATCAGGCTGAATATCCCTCTCTGCCTGTTTAGAACTTTACTCATTAAAGGGGAGGAGAGGGAGAGGGAAGGGATAGGTGGAAATTAAGAAAGTGAGGAAACTCAATTTCATTAATGTAGCAATTTAAAAGATAGACATTGCAACCCCATATAAGGAACACAGCTGATAAATGCCACCTCATGCCTGGAACTCCACTCAAAGGGGTAAACTGCTAGCCAGAAAAGGGGCTGCCAGTGACAAGGTATTGGAATAACTGCAATGATGTAAAAATACAGAAGTGAATCAATTACTTTGTTGAGGTAGGGTCCCCACCTCTTCCTCCTTCCTAGTCTGCTCATGTCCCCAGTGGTGTGGGGGAAAAAAAAAAGCCTGCCACATTTTATTGAACTGGGAGGAGCATTTGCATATTTTGCAGGGAGGACAAGCGGACTCTAAAATGTAGAGATGGTGACAGCGCATTGGAATGGAGAACAATGGGTTGGTCCTGTGAACGGCTCAATTTATATATGCAATGAAGTGCACGACCTTCTACCCATAATCACTATAAGAAAAATGAAGTAACTGACTCTATGTAGCCTATGCTAATCACACAGCTCTTCCCATCTCCTAAAACTTCTCATTAAAATGATTTTTTTAAAGCCTGAACTAGTGAGTGACAATAAATAACAAGAATCCCATTTCCCATCCAAAGCCCCATTTTCAGGAGTAACAATAATCCCATTGTCAAATGACCCTAAGAGCTGGATTTATTTTATCTGTTCTATACAGCTCATTAGCCTAAACTCTGCATCTTATTACAGGGTTCCTGACTAGACTGTTTCACTATGAAATGCAGGTCGGGCAGTTTATTGTCAGTGCTTAAACTGCAGAAGTCAGCCAGTAGAAAGTCAAAATTACATGTTTCAAGCTAATAAAACGTGAAACAGCATCTCCTTGACCAAATTGCCATGCTTTTCTGACCACAGGATCCTGTAACTCATGTCTGCAAACAACAGTAGTCCACTGGGTGCTTGTACACACCTTCTTTCACCTCACTCTTCTCCTTTAAAAACATGGATGTGGCTTCTTTCCTATGACAACATTCTTCCCTATAGCTTCTATGCAATAGACTGATAGCAGTAGATATCACAAGAACATGAGATTGTTTTCAGTTTAACAGCAGAAGCACCAAAGGTGGCTTGCAAACAAGTCTGTGATGTTTTTGGTGTTTCTTTATGATGTGTAAAGGAATTTTGAAAGTCATGTTTATTTCCTGCTATTTCACTTTTTTCTTCTTCAGGTCTGGAAATGGGCTTTAAGATAGTTTTACAAGTTAAAAAAAGAAAAAAAAAAAAGTATTGGCAATTCAAATTGGTAAGTTTGTGTTTCACATTCCCAGTATCTCACTACAGAGCCCCCAAAAGGGCCTCTTAATGGCTCGCAAATATTAGCAAAGTTATCCCCAGAAACCAAACCAGTAACTACATCAACTTCACAGAAGAGCTACAAGTTCCCAATCTAGAAGAAAACAGAACAGAAATCTCTTCTGAGATCCAGGTCTCCAGTGGACAACTATAACGTAGCTCTCTTTCTAAGGTGGGAAGCAATTGTATTTGCATATGCTTTGTGTATCTTCAACATATTTCCATTGCCTGAACAGTAGAGTGGGAGAGAAAGTAGTTTGGTTAGTAATACAGCATCTCTAGCCATTAATTTGGGATCTGAGAAGTCTCCCACTCTTCTTCTCTGGATGTCTGGGACACCTCACCTACAGAGAGGATAAGCTAACATGCCTGATCTTTCTCAGATAAAACAGAAACAGACTTTTTTCTTTTAATGCAGTCATCAGATCTTCACCCCAAAAATGCAAGGAAGTAAAACTAGTGCCCTCCCTTTGACAGGTTAGTATTAAACAGAATATTCAGTATAAATATCTGACAGAAAAAAAAAAAAGTTTAGAATTAGAAAGGTTTAATTTCATTAAAATAGAAAAAAGGCTCAAGCTGCTGCATCCTGTTGCAACAACAGAAGTCAGGTTCTTAAATTATTTCAATATTTCTACACTCATATCAAGTGTGGCAAAATGCATTTGACTTCCAATGACTACTTCTACCAAATATGAAAGCCACCAACAAACCATTCTGCAAAGATTCAGTTTCTCAGTTTGTTTTGGGGGTTTTTTGGTTGCTTTTTTTTTTTCTTAAATTTACTGATGGAGAAAGTTTTAAAGGGAAATTAAAAATTTTTAAAGGGAATTAATTTTAAAGGGAATTAAAAATTTTTAAACTGATGGAGAAAGTTTTAAAGGGAAATTAAATATTTTTAGGTCCCTAACCAAACACAAAAAAGACACTATTATGTTTATACCACTGGAACCTGTGTTTGTTATACATTTGCTTTAAATGAAGGACTATTATCAGACTGCTTTTACCCTAACAGATAATTAGTACTAAACACCAGGAATAGAGAACTTAAGGGGCAAAGCAGCTCTAGCTCCCAATTCAATTACATTAAGCTACTGGAATCGTGCAGCTAAGCAAGGAATCAGCAATCAGAGCAATCATATTCAATCAGTGAGCACCAGGGTACAGCCGTCTATTCATCAGGGCACAGCGCTGCATCCTGTTGGGGTGAACAGAACACTGACTGAAACAGAAAAAGCATCTCTTCACTCATCCCCTATTGCCATGCATACTCCATACTTGTCCTTTCCTACAGCCATAAAGGGACCAGCTATACTGCATACTTACAGGCAGATCTGCATAGAAGTAGTGTTTTCTGTCAAACAAGGACTTCTTGTTTATGCTGCAGTTGAGTGCCAGGCCTGTCATCACTGCTGCTTCTACACACCTCCTGTTGAGAACCTAAGGAAACATGACACATGGTTTTGCTCAGATACTCAGTATGTAACAATGTGTTTCCCCCACATTGCCTTATATGGTGCATATATTCAATTTTGCTTGCCTTCTGTCACCATTAGATCTCTTTTCTTGTGTGGGTAGTTCTTATTCATCATTAAAGTCACGGTAGCTACAAATCTGCAAAGCTTTAAGATGAAAAAACAAGCTATTCAGTCGTTTTGTCATGCCACATAAGGAGGTGTGCACTGTTCTGGCTTGCTACTTTTGCAAACATTCCAGTACTTTTGAATCTTAGAGGGTGCAAGAGACAAATCATAGTAAATGATAATTGACTTGTGACCAGCTGTCAACTCATATTGGGAACCAGAAACACAGGGGATTTGCATTAGGGACTGCAGTGCCATTTTGGTAAAACATTTCAGAACACCTGTAACCACAGAACCACAGTGAATTCACAAGTATCTACACGTAGATTTCAATGCTTTGCTTAACCAGGATGAAATTAAGCACACTTACATGCTTTGCTAAAACAGAACCAGAGAGATGCCAATTGATTCCACGGCTACAAGTATACATGCATTTCCAATACCCAAGTAACCCATGGGATTAAGGTTCTGGCAGAATGCCACATAATCTGAAGATCCAGCAAGGCCTTAATGAAGAAATAAAGGAGATGCAGTTTCACACCACAGACCCATCACTCTCAGTGCTACACCCTTCTATGTCCTCAGCAGAGTCATGGTGCAGAGGAGAAAGAAAATTCCACTCCAAAAAGTACTAACAAGCAATGTTTCAAATTTATGTTTTTTGAAATGTGCTCTCATTAATTTGACAGGTGGTTTAACTAACACCAAATGGATAAAACTGAAAAGAAAAAAAAAAAAGACTGAATTTATCTTAGTACAACTCTGACATACTCACGCTTACAGTATTTTGCAACAGGAACAAACTTTATCCATCTTATTCTGCACTGTACAGCTGCCAAGAAGTCAATTTCCAGCAGGACCATTAAAGGGGCATATTATGTAAAAGAATCTACATGACTTCATCTGCATTGACCAGAACAAAAAAGGCTTAAATAATGTTTTCTTCAATGTTTCTGGCAGTATTTACTTTTTATATTCTCCAGCCTGATTTCTGAAAACAGATTAAGCAGCTGTACATTTCCCATCATCCCATGTCTTCAGCTGGAAAAGGAACCTCTTTCCTTTACTTGTCTAATATTTCAAAAATCAAAATAATAAGAGAAAATATGAGAAACTCTTTCTGTAACAGAAACTTTAAAATTGCTTATACAGACAAGAAATTAAATATTTAATACATTTAACGAGGGAACTTTCAGATCTTTAGTGTAGCTATATAAGGCTAACTAGAACACATCATCTGTTCGGGCATATTTTATTTATCAAAAAATTTAAAAGATATATAAAGCAAATTTTAAACGAGAAAAAAGGAAGAACAATTTCCCTTTGAAATACTGATCTGCAGCAAAATGAATGCAATTAGTCCGGACTGTAATCTAAAGTAAAATTGGTAACTATGAAATATTATTTTAGTGTCATAGCTGCAGTTCATTATATAGCAGATGCTCCTGTTTTAAACAATTAAATGTTTCCAGATAGTAGAGATGATACCTTTTTTTTTTTACTGTTTAAGTAGCTTGTAACAATGCTAGTCAAATTGTTCAATGTTTAAAATATCATAATATTTCTAAATACACAGGCAAAATTTCCTCCTCCTAAAGCCTTATGGTATGATCCTGTTCAGCTTTACAAATTAGGGAGGACCATGCCAGTCAGTGCTTTTAACAACTGGTCACCAGAAACTGTTAAAGGCTTCATAAACAGTGGGTAGACTCAAAACACCACTGCATCAAAGTAGTGAACTTATGTCTTGCTACATTTCCTGATGGTGCAGGGTTTGTGA